GCCCGGTCGTCGGCTGCGTCGGGCGGTGAGGACCCGGCCTGGCTGTCGCTTGGCGGCGAGGATGACGCATGGCTCTCGCCTGGTGGCGAGGTCGTTGCTTCGCTCTCGCTTGGAAGCAGTGGCGCTAGCGCGCAGCTAATCCCGTCGTCTTGCAGCAAAGGCCCGTCAAGAAGGTCGAGGAGATTGGCAAAGTCCGCGCTGTCGTCCAAGTCCATCGCGGAGGTGCTAGTCGGTATTAGTTTCGGCAGATGCCACATCTAAATCAATTGTGCCGATGCTAAAAACACTCAACCTAGTAGGCTGGATAGTCTCGCAAGAGGACTGCCGAGTCGCTGGAGCCCATTGACGGTTGAGACTTCAACTTGAATACACTTTCTTTCCCTCCGTCGGCAACGACTCTTAAAGCATCGAAGGGGTCACGCGTCATTAACACCATCCACGTTGCAGTCATTTGTTACCACCGACACCCTAAACCCTGCCATAAACCAAGGAAATTCACCAGTGTTTTAGTCCCTAGCGACAATCGTAGCATGCATGTACCGGTACAACCCTGCGTACGAGCGTTCGACTCCATAACGCTACTGGGTCCCACCATTCAGCAATTATCGTTCCCGCTTCTCGATGATTTGAATATCACAGGGCTCGGGTTGGTGTTCATCAGCAAAGCACATTGCAGGGGGTGTTTGCAGCCGGCTGCTCAATGCGATCGAAGGCGTCGACGGCAGCTTAGTTTGAGCTCTTTTCCATATTGTATTCTTCCACTCTTCTGATGCTCTGTTGTTCTGGCTCGCGAGACCCGTGCAACCGCTTTGTGACATCCCGTGTTACTAAACCCAAACTCACGGTTGCGTTTTGCACACGATTGTCAACCGTCGATTCCAAGCCTTCTACCATTTTCATTTCGAAAATGCGCTGCCTCCCCGCGCTCCTGCTCTATGCTGTCGTGGCGTCTGTGATGGGCGCCTGCCCGTACTCGGATCTATCCTTGGTCAGTGATGACGAAGTCTTGGTCGCTGACGCCTCGTGTCCTAACAAGACGTCGTGCACTGTCGGTCCCACGTGCAAGCTGCGACGATGGAGCGCGGGCGACGATAAATTCGCCAACACAGACGCAATTGGTGACATGAGTCGCTACGACTATCCGAATCTGTACGATGGTTTTGATGTTGCAATTCTCATTCGCGTTTATATGTTAGTGTGATCTTCGACTCGCCACGAGTGACGCTTCTCAAGATGCAGCTGCCCGCTACTGTCACTTCCCTGTCCGTACATCCAACGCTGCCATTTGTCATTTTCACACTTGGAGTTAGGACCTTCGGCACGATCGTGTCGGTCGCAGACGTGGACAAGATTCAGGAGACGCAATGGAGCTCTGTCCTCGGACTGTGCGTTTACACGTTGTCTACTGTGGTTCAAAATTGGGTTAGCGAATTCCAGCACTCCAAGCTGACGCACAGCAACACCATCAATTGGCCGCGTTCGCTCCACAACATGTATGTAGTCGTCTCCTCTTTTATAGCACGGGCTCATAATAAGCGACACAGTTCGCTCGTCTATAGCGGCTTCATCAACATTCCCCAAAACTTTCCGCCCACCCTCAGAGCATTGTTGTACAAACCCGTGCCTATCGCTCTAAAATGTATCTAGGCGGATCGAAGGAAGCAACCTCACCGACCTCCAATACCTCCCGTCGAGCGTCACCTCTCTGTACGCCCACCGATTCCTAGTCCGGATCACGCACAGACGTCGTAGCAACGTCGCATGGAACCAGCTCTCGTCCATCACAAACTATGATTGGGAGGCATTTACCCTCCTGTAGAGCTATTCCGTGTACACAAGTGTCATGCGTTTTCACTTGTAGGCGCTTCTCGAACAATTCCAAGCTGCAGTCGATTTCGCGCATTCAGTTGTCAAGCAAGCTCGAATACTTGTCCGTGTTGTCCAACGTTTATATGTATTGACTATTGTCATGACTAGCAACATTGCTGGCTGCACCAGCTTGAACAACATTACGGTCGACGCGAGTTCATTTGCGGCGCTTGACGCGCTACAACCCGCGGCGGGGGACGCCGACGTGAAAAAAATCTTCAAGGGGTATGTCGCCGACGTACCAGTCTCGACGAGCGCCACTGGCTGCGCGGCCATTGGTGGTGAGATCAAGCGTCTCTGGCAGACCACGAACACGGCCATAATCAACGTCTGCGTCTTGTCTACCGCTTCGAACAGCTCATCGTCGTCGTCCAGTAAGACCTTGTTGTCGGTGCTTGTCTCTGTGACTACTGGGTAGAGATGGGCTTGATCATCGGTGTCGCCGTCGGCGGTGTCGTCCTTATTGGCGCCATCGTCGCCTTTGTCATCTGCAAGCGCCGTAAAGCAAAGCACCAACCTTCCCCCGTCTACAACCGCTACGAGCCATCGAATACAAACGGCATCAGCTTGGCCACGGCAGGTCGGACGCTTGGTACGAATGGCACCAAGACCATTGGTACCAACGGCACGGGTGGACCCACTGCCGGCACCACGGGTTCGCGCCGCCCCATCATCAACCCGGACGTCGACGTCATCTTGGATGTCAAGCCGCTCCTCCATCACCGGCTAGAGCTTCGCGACTTGGACGTGACGTCCAACAAACCACTGGCGTCCGGTGCGTTTGGCGAAGTCTGGCTCGGCACGTACGGCGGCAAGCAAGTCGCGGTCAAGCGCATGAAGAACCAAGACGCACGCATGGCCCAGAAGTTCATCGAAGAGATTGTCCTCATGTCCCAGTACGTTCACTTCTCTGTACTGATGATGCAGTGGCTGACTGCTCGTTTTAGGATGAGCAGCGACTACATTGTCAAGCTCGTCGGTGCCAGTTGGACCCGCCCGATCGAGATCGAGTGCGTCGTCGAGTTCATGGACCTCGGCGACCTTCGCAGTTACCTCGTGAACCAGTCGCCGGCGCAGTTCAGCTGGGACCAAAAGCTCAACTGCATCA